CAGAACGGCGTCATCCGGCCGTGGTTCTTCCAGAAGGCCGGCGTCGTTGAGGAGGGGCAGAGAGGAGAGGGGACCAGGAGGATGAGGGGGAGGAGAACGAGGATAAAGAGATGAAGGAAGAAGAGGAGGAGGAAGAAGAGGAGGAGGAGGAGGAGGATGAGGCAGGATGGAGGGTGCGCCACAAGGTCGTGGACCAGAGGAAGGGGCGTGGTCGAGTCAATGTGCTTTTCCAGTCCAAGCACGACCCCGTCATGTTCGCGAACGTGCTCGGGGGTTCCCGGCGGCCCGCGGAGCTAATCCACGGCACGACGTGGGAGAACTACGCGGGGATCATGCGCGAGGGCCTCGTGCCGGCGAAGAACCCCACCTCCGAGCTGCGGCGGCCCTTCCGGGAGCTGCTCCAGGGGGCAGAGCACCACGTCTACGCGGTCAAGGCGACGTCCACGGCCGACGCCGGCGCCGACCATGCCAGGAGCCAGTCCTCGTCGGAGGACTATCGGCAGCTGGACTCTGGCGACCCGTGCTCTCCCCAGTACGAGCTCACCTCGCAGCGCTGCGGGCTCGACCAGCCGCCCGACACCTACTTCATCATCGACACGCAGAAGGCGCAGGAGACCGGGGCTCGGCGGAGCACAGTCGGGTCCGCACCTCTCTCCTCTCCACCTCCTCCTCCCCCTCCTCCTCCTGCTCTTCCTCCTCCTGCTCCTCCTCTTTCGTCTCCTGCTCCTCCTCCGTCTCCCGCTCCTCCTCCTCCTCCTCCTCTTCCTCCTCCTCCTCCTCCTCCGCTACAAGCTACGTGCGCTCCTCCTCCTCCGCTGGGGGAGGCTGGGGGAGCGCAGGAGATGGGGGTGCAGCTGAACATTGTCCAGTCCCCAGACAGCGACGAGACGGTCTATGTGCAGGGCCCGGTGCCGAAGGAGGTGCTCCGGCCGAGGCCCAACTACCCGGTGGACCTGCCGGACCTCGGAGGTTGCAGAAGCTACGGGCGTGGACCGTTTCCTGCCCAGACTTGCGACGTCCCGATTTTTGTCTGGACGGCGGCCCTGGAAGTCCCGACCCTGTCCCCGGGACCGTTTTTGTTGTCCCGAGTCGTTTTCTGACGGTCCCAGGCCCAGCGAGGCCCCCCCAGAGCCGAAAACAGCCCAAAACCTTCCGTCCTGATTTTTTTTGCGACGCGATCATGTCTGGGGGGACTTCCGAGACCGTGTCTTTTTTTCGATCGGGCCCCCCCTTGGACGTGAGGTTTGGACTTTCCAGCGAAGTCCCAGCATATCAAGACCTGGACAAGAGGTGGGGCCCAATAGCAATCACTGGCCCCCCCTTGGAGCTCTTGACCCCTTCCCCAGTTCCTCGACGGCCCCACGGCAAGCGGCCCCCTTATGCGCAGAAAATCAGGAGAGGAACAAACAGCACACAGACACAATTCATCACCGATCCCCAAGAAAGTATAGGAAAATATGGGAAGTGGGGGGGAAGACTAAGACCCAGAATCAATGGAAAAAGATGGGGGATCCTGGAATTTGTGTGTGTGTGTGTGTGTACTTATTCGTGTGTCCCTTGGCCCCTTCCGAAAAGCAGTCCGCTTTTTGTTTTGCCCCGCTCCCGCCGCCACGCGTTGGAAGTCGGCAGGACTCCAGCAAGACGTCGGCGGAACTCGGCCGCAGGACCCAGGAGGGCTCATTCGGCCATCCAGGGTGCCTTTGGGATCGACACGAAATCCCCCAAGGACGCTCCGAGACGCCCCCACGAGCGCCCCAACAGGCCTGACGAGGCTCCAAGACGCCCCGGGAGGCCCCGAAGTCTCGGGAAGCGCCCCAAAAGACGCCTCAAGAAGTCTCCGAGAGACAGACCTTGGCGAGGCCTTCAAGAGGGCCCCAGGAGCCCCAAACGGTCCATATCCCGAATGGTTCTGGAGGGCCCCGGGAGCACTCCAAGAGAGCCCCGGAGAAGCCCCCAGGAAGGCTTGCGAGACGCCCCATTCGGCTGTCAAGCGGTCCTGCAGGGCTCCCAAGGGGCCCTCAAGGGCTCCAAGACGCAAAGTAGTAGGACATAGCATGACACTGCGGATCATACAGTTGCATAAGCGCTGGGGGGGGCGCCACCCCCGCCGACAGCCCCACATCGACCCCCGTCTCGGGCAGCCACCGCGCGCCGAAGGCGCTCCGACCCTCGTTGCGGCGCGACGACGAGGCGAGGTTGACCCCCGTCGGGGGGGTACATATTGTTCATTTCTAATTCTTCGAGAGTTCTTTGATTTTCAGATCCTTTCATTTCTGATTCTTCTATTCTGGGCCTGCTCCTGGCCACTAGGGGGCCAGGAACAATCAGAAACGGGCACAACTGGAAGTGAGCACGATTGGAACTGAACGACGTGTACCCCCCACGCTTATGGAGAAACCCAGCGTGGCATTCCGCAGCAGAGCACAGCATACCACACGGCCAAGACGTGGAAGCACGGACCACTCAAGGGCTCGGGCGGGGCCCCGATACTTGTCGGGCCGCTCCCCCGATCGGGGCTCGCCCAGGCCAGCAAGCTCCAGGGCTGGACCTAAACGGTGTTTTGGCGATTTCGTGGGCCGTTTTCGTTTCGGTCTCGTTTTGCGGTAAAATGCGTATCGAAGACAAGACGAGGGAGAACGAACATAGAACGAGAACGAAGAACACCGTTTAGGTTCAGCCCTGAAGAGTTCCTTCCTCCCTGCGTCGGCTTCTCCTTGTATGGCACGATGACTGGCGCACGGCGTGCGGACAGGAACTTTGGCGCCACCGTGTCGCGGCGACGGATCTGGCGCCCACCGCGCTCGGGGCGGCACGCCATCTGTGCCTTATGATGGGCCTCTTTTCCATTGCCACCACCACCACCACCATAAGTTGGAGGGGGAGGGAGGTTCCTCCTCCTCCTCCTCCTCTTCGTCGTCGTCCCCTCCTCCTCCTCCTCCGGTCGTCCTCCTCCTCCTCCTCCTCCTTCTCCTCCTCCTCCTCCTCCCCCCTCCTCCCCCCTCCTCCCATCCTCCCCCCCCTCCCCCCCTTCCTCCCCTCCTCCCCTCATCCCCTCCCCCCCCTCTCCCACCCCCCCTCCCTCCCTCCCTCCTCCCTCCTGCTGCCCCTCCCTCGCCCTCCGTCCCTCCCTCTACCCCTCCTTCCTCCCTCCCCCCCTCCTCCTCCTTCTCCTCCTCCTCCTCCTCCTCCTCCTCCTCCTCCTCGTCCGTAGCCATTTTGGCTCAAGATGCATAGTTCCTCAGGGGAACAAGTGGATACCGCTAGTCCGCGGCAGACAAGACCCTTGGCGGTCTGGCAGAGATTGTTCCTCGAACTGACGCTCGCCCCCACGGGTAAACGGAGGCTTTTCCCGTTCCTGTGCGTACGAACGTCTCAGTCGCAATGGGGCTTCCCGACGCTGCTGCGCTCGCCCAGGTTGCCCAGGAGATCGATGACATGCCCACCTTCCCAGATGATGATCGTGATGATGGCCACCGTGTTCGGGGCTCGCCTGAGCCCAAGTACCCGCGCATCGAGGACGGCAAGGGTTCCTCAGGCAGTGACAAGGGTGTCGCTGGCATGGCTGCCCGCGCAGCTGGCGCTGTCGGCTCGGCGCTCTTCGGCGGTCGTGGCGATCAACATCGTACTCCTGGTTCTCCCCCTGCTGGTGCTCCTGGTGACCCTTCCCAGCCTCCACCTCAGCAGCCACAGTATGATGATGACTAACTACATCAGGCACGTCGCGGCCAACGCAGTTGCAGAACAATTCGGAGAGTTACGGTCCGAGTTGGAGTCTCTGGTTGGATCTACCGTCGGCGCTACAGTGCAATCATCCAACAAATCTATTCTCGACACACTGGAGTCCCTGCGCATCCAGATTACGGCCCAGCCGAAGGAGGTTGACCAGCAGATCATGGCCACTGTTCGCCCCCACATCGACTCCATTCACCGCGGCTTGCAATCCAAGATTGACTCTCTCGGGTCCCATGTCAACACGCTCTCGATCGACGTTGAGCGGCACACCTCGGACATCGCCAACTTACGAAAGCAGATGGAGGAGCTCCGCGGCGAACTCATGGTCGCCAAGCGCACGGAGAAGGCACCGACACCGCCGCCCTCTTTCGATCGTGTGGAAGACCCGTCTGTTGTCGTCGCCATGGCCACGAAAATGGTCGGGATCGAGTCCGTGCGTGCTACACTTTCCCCATTCTTGTCTGAGCTGGGCTTGGACGCCTCGTCTTACACCATCAAAGCCACTGGTCCGATGCCAAGCAGAAAGTACCTCATCTCATTCAACGGCAGTGTCGGGCTTGCATCTAAGTATGTCAACAAGGTCTTGTCTAATCTCAGGCAGAACGATGAGTGGCGTATCTTCGAGGCCGACGTGTCAGGCGCTACTCCCGCTCGTCTCCACCTCGGACCAGATAAAAATCCAAAGCAAATCAAAACGGAAATGGCCCTCAGGAAGCTTCGTACGGCCCTGGCTGGCAAATATGATGGACGATGGGCAGTGGACAGGGAGCGTGGGATCCTCCGATGCGGGTGGACGCACATCCTCAAGCTCTCGGCCCAGCCCGACGACCAGCCCTTCGACATCTTCTACAACGACGAGGGCCTCCGCGAAGTCGGCATCGCCAAGCACGAGGTACGCGAACTTGTCCAGTCCACCATCGCACCGCCACCTCCTCCGCAGTGGTGTCTTTAACGAGATGCTGCAGATGTTCGCTCTTCCTCAATCCCGAGGTGGAGGCGCTGCTTTGAGATGTGCTACCTGGAACGCGAGGGCGCTCCTGCAGTACAAAGGGGCGAAGGCGATTCCAAAGTTACGTTACCTTCAGCAAATCCACCTGCCGTCCACGTTGTTGGCGATGCAGGAGGTTCACGCCGATCGAGTCCAACTTGAGCAGTTTGCGCTCCAAGCTCATGCCCATGCAGTAGTACACGCCTCATTTCGTGCAGTCGATCACGGGGGATCGGGTGCGGGAGGTGTCGCTACCATTCTTCCTCGATTAGCTCTTGACGGAGCATCGTCTAGCTGTGCCACGCCGCTCATCCCAGGACGGGTCCTGCAAGTTGATGTGCATAGACGAGGTTTTCAGTTGACGCATTTCAATATACACAACCACGGCCTCACTAGCGCCCAGGTGGACATGGTCTGTGAGCAGATCGATTGGTATCGGGCTTCGGCAGCGTCTGACCCTACCCACCACCTGGTCATCGTGCAAGGCGACCTCAATTTTGGCCCCGACGAAGCTCTCGTGCTTCATCGCCCTCAGCCTGCGCGGGTTTCTGATCCTCGGAATCACCGTGCTCAAGCTGCTCGCTGGCTTCGCTCTCTTGGGGCGCTTCTTGAAGTCTCGTCGTCGGCGGCTACTCACTATACGAAGCATACCAACTCGGTTAGTTGCATCGACAGGTTCTTCTGTTCACTACCAGGATGGATGCTGTGTCAGGTACATGCTGAATCTACCACAGTCGGTGAGCCAGAGGCGTTGTCCCGTGCTCGAATATCAGATCACGCCGCGCTGGTGACTACGTTGCGCCAGCGACATCACAAGCCTCGGGGAGAACAAGCTATTCCGCGGCACATCTTCTTAGACCCGCTCTTCAAGAAGCGTATCGAGGGGATGGTTGCTGACGGCCAGAACGCTATTGCTGCGTATGCTGGCTCTGTTTACCAGGAGCATTTCAAAGAGATGCTCAAGGAGGCGGCGAGAGAGGTGCGCGACATGCTCTTCACGCTGAAGGCGGAGAGTGACGAGACGGCGCTCCTCGTGGCCCGCAGCTGCGCCCGAGCCGTCTGGCGGCAGGACGTGCCACTGGCTCGGCGGCTTATTTCGACATCGCAGTGGGCTTCGGACTTACTGCAAATTGAAGGCACACAAGTTAGTCTTCGGCATGCTGAATCATTTCATTCTTGGTCGGATGGAGTCCACATGCGGCTTCTGGAAAAAGAACTGCAAGCCAATGCTGATCATGCCGCTGGTCTCTCTGCCCCTCATCGCCCCCCCTCTGCCTGCCGTCGTCAGCAGCTACTGGAGCGGAAGGCGGCCATCTGGGCCCCCTTTTCTCGCCGGCTCGTCCTGCAGGCTGTTCGGTCCGGGCCCGACTTGTCCCATTCGCCTGACGATCGGTTTCAAGCTTTGAGTACCTACTGGCGCCCTGTATTCTCCCGAGGCTCTGTCCCAGGCCCCTGCGTTGAGGCCTACCTCCAGGACCGCCTGAAGGCCCCCATCCAGTGCGAAGTCCCACCACCCACTAAAGCTGCCGTCCGTCGAGCTGTGCGTGGTGCACGGCATTCTGCCCCAGGTGTGGACGGCATCCCATATGCCGCGTGGAATGCTTCTGAATGCTGCGTCGACGTCTTGTGCAACACCCTCGTCTGGGTGCTCGGCGGGGGGACCCTCTTCGATGCCGCGAGTGTCACGTTGCAGGCCTTCTTGCCCAAGGGTTCCGAGGAGGAGGACGAGGCCTCTGGAGGCTGCACACGATCGGCTGACAAAATTCGCGTGCTCGGGCTGCGAAATACCGACCTTGAAATCATGACGTCCGTCGTCAACCGCTCGCTCCGTAAGGTGGTGGAGGAGGTGGTGCCCAGATCGCAGAGGGGGTTTGTGGTCGGCCGAAACTTCGGATATAACGTGATCGAACTCGACGGCATAGGAAGGCTTGCTGCTGCTCACCCTCGCGCAGACCTGTGCGACCCCCTCTTGATCTCTTTTGATTATGGTCAGGCGTTCCCCAGTCTATCTCAAGAGTATCTGCTGATGTTGATGAATAAGCTCGGGCTCCCTGGGCCCCTCATGTGGTTCCTTTCGTGGCTGTACCTAGCGATGCAAGGTGTTGTGGCCCATGCTGGCCAGCTTATCCCGATATACTGGTTGCGGTCTGGGATTATCCAAGGATGCGGGCTCTCAGGGAGCCTCTACGCCCTCGGCGCGGCCCCCTTTCTCTGTGCGCTGGAGGATACCCTGGAGACTCCTGGATATGGTATCGCTCGTGCATGTGCTGATGATATAGGAGCGGTGCTGTACGAAGCAAAGCACCTCAATGTGCTGTATGATGTGATGGTGGTCACGGAGTGTCTCGCAGGGCTGAGACTTAAGCCCCCGAAGTGCAAACTCGTCCCGCTCAAGGGGGTGTTCACCGAATCCCTCCAGCTCCACACAATGTCCCTCGTGGAGCGCCTCGTCCCTGCCTGGCGCGCCTTCGAAGTGACCTCCCACGTCCCCTACCTTGGCCTCCTGCTGGGCCCAGCCGTCACCGTGGACATGTAGTGGCACGCCCCGCTGCAGAAGCTTAAATTACGAGCCCGATTGCTTGGGTCTGGCGCTGCCCCTGCCAGTATCAATGGTGTCCTGTACTCGTCTAGGGTGCTCTCAGTGGTCTCCTATGTGGCCCAATTCGTCCCACTCCCTCAACGACACGTTGCCCTGGAACTGGGGATTCTCGCGCAGGTCTTCAGAGCCCCTCTTGGTATGCTCACTACGGCTGGCTGGGCCCAACTTGGCGCATGGGGTGGTCCTCATGTCCCACTGCTGCTTCACTCGTGCGCTGCTGCCTTTGCTCGAGCCGCTTTAGTCACGTTCTCTAACCACACTACCATTCTTGATCGCTGCCGACAACTTCAGTCTGAATGGAGATTTTCACTTATGGAGGGCCGATACGATGATGCGCCATTGGCAGCGATTCGATCACGCGAAGATGCCCTTGACCATGTTGGAACGCACTGGCAGTCCCCGTCTTTCTTGCTGGGCTATGCCTCGGTTCACCAGCCGTGCAGGGAAAGCGCTTACTCGGCTGAGATCACGGACAGGTGCGTGCAAGCTATCACCCAGGAGCTCCAGGTCGCCGACAGGAAGCCCAAGCCCCAACGCGCAGCCACACGTGCTCTTCGGGAGATGCTGGTGACGCCTTTCCCGCTTGCTTCCCTGGTGCAACAGCGTCTTCAGAGATATGTATGTGAATGGGAGCCGTTTCTTGATCGTGTGGCTTGGACGGAGATTGGCGGACTCCTCTCGCTGGTTCCCATGAGCTGGGCCATGCCTGTTATCAAAACTTACTGCTCTGGTTGGCTCACTTCTTCGCGCACCCAGTATGTCGGAGGCTCCCGCTCGTGTATCTTTGGCTGCCGTGCGCATGCCGATCGACAGTACCATTACATGCGATGCCGCCCGTTGTGGACTGCTGTGTACCAAGCACTGGGGTATGAGATGCATCCGCTCCTTCCTGATCGCTTGGGGCTGCGGCTCCCTGGTCTCATACATGTGGAAACCCTGGCGGTGGCTTTCAACATTTACCATAATATGCGCTTTCGCTTATACGTCACTGCTAATGACATTCGATCAAGTGCGCGTGCTGCGGTCAGAAACCTACGATTGGCCAAGCCTGACGCGCAACTGGAAAAGAAATGGCAGCCTCCTGCTGCGCTGACCCTTCACCGCTTGCCGCAACCCACGACGACCTCCTCGACCTCATCCTGCGATGATGAAGTTGACAGACAGCATCCCGACCAGCCTGGAGATCCCGATGACGGTGCTGGTGAAGCAGCTGGTAGTCATGAGCATGTCACGTTGGGCCAGACATCTGACAGTGAGCCCCGCGTTGACACTGGTCTTCTGGCAGATGAGGAATGCTACTCTGGACCTGGCGTGGGCGGGGATGTTGGTCTTTCACCGTGTCTTACCCCTCGGCTCGTACCCACGGTGCACACTGATGACGGCAGTGTCACTCCTCCCTCCATGCCTGGAACCCCGACGACTCTGATAGCGACGCCCTCCAGAGTTGGGCACATTGACGACCGCGACGGCCTCGAAACTGGCAGAACGCAAAGTCCTGTGCTCCTCGAGCAGGCTCAGTCGTCGCCTCGGTGGTCGTATGTTGATTTTGTCAGAACGCTAAGTCCTGGCAATGAGTGCTCCTCGTGCCCATATGTCCAGGCATCTAGAGTAAATTGCGAGGATCTGCTGCATTTGTCCCCTGGTACTGCGACACGGGAGGTCAGAACGCTAAGTCCTGGCGGAGGGTGCTCCTCGAGCCCGTCGCTTCAGGCATCTGGAGTGAATTGCGAGGAGTGGTCTCACATGGCGCGCTGTGCTCCCCAACTCGCACATCCGTGGAGGACGGCCGTCAGAACGCAAAGTCCTGTGCATGGGTGCTCCTCGATCCCATTGCCACAGGCTCGAGTAAGTTGCGAGGGGAAGGTCTCTGGCTCGGTGGCGTCCCTGGTTGCGAGGCGCTCTCGGCAGGGGTGTATTCTGGCGACGACTCCGATGTGTGCTTCTATTCCTTGGCCGACCTGTGCTCCAGTTTCCTTGTCTGGGCCGGTTTCGTGCTCGACGGGGACCCTGAGTGCGACTCCGCCGACTCCAGTGGCGTTGGGTACCCCTCGTATGGCGACTCCCTCCCCGCGTATTGCTCCCTCGTGGCCGACCTCGGCGACGTCGGGTTCCCAGAGGGCGACACTCTCTTCGACGGCCTCACCGACGTCGGGCTCCTCTCCACGTGAATGCCATGCGGGAAAAGACCTGTCACCGTCGCCCTTCCTTCCCCCGTCCTTCGCTTCGTTGATGAGCTCTGCTCCTGCCGCTGCTTGCCCCCCCGCCTGCTCCCCCTCCTCCCGCGTTTGTGCCCTTGTATTTGCCCGCCATCACTCCGCCGTTCACGCTGTCGATCGCTTCCCGTTCTGATCCTGCGCCCGTCTTTCCTTCCTCTGAGGCGCTTCCTCTCCAGCATCCTGCTCACGCTGCGTCCGTCTATCCCACGGCGCCGCATCATGTCTTGGGGTTTTCTTGCGTTTCCTCCCTCACCTCGTCCTTCGCTCCGTTGAGCTCTGCCCCTGCCGCTGCCTGCCCCCCGCCTGCTCCCCCTCCCTCCGCGTTTGTGCCATCGTTGTTTCCCGCCTTCACTCCGTCGCTCGCTCCGTCGAGTGGCCACACCCCTCCGCTCGTGCGCCCGCCGCCTCGCCCCCTTGCTGCTCCCAGCCCCGTTCTTCAGCAATTAAATACGGCTTTCCGACCGTCGTCTATGACGACCCCGTCCCCGACACGCACGTCGAGGCCCGTGCCCCCGCGGCCCGCCACAGGTGCGTTCGGCCCCGCTGCGTAGGCGGGTGGAGCGGACCCTGGGTACGCTGGGCTCCTCCTCCTCC